CCTCTTGTGGACACTGTGGTCACAACTACACATGTGGCATTCACTCACATACACACATACACACACAATATTTTTTAAAAGAAATAATCCCACTTAATTATACAATGACTTATATACCACTGTATGACTTAGAATTCACGTGACAGAGACGGTATAAGGAGGACGTATTTTGTATGAAACGTCTAAGGTGTCCCTGTGTCAGGGTGGGGGGCGTTGGGGAGTAGGACGCAAGCAAGGAAGACAGGAAGCAAACCAAACCATAACAAGACGCCATAGCAAGACACAGCCTCCAAACCATAACTCCAGGGATCAGTTTCTTCCCACCGGGCCCCACCTTCTCTCTCCCAATAGTCTCTGTGCATTTTGAAACTTATGTTAAGGGATCAAGCCGTTCATCAGGACTAACCTTTCTGGAAAGAGCTGTTGTGGGAATTTCTTTAACTACGTAAATCTGGGTTACATTTCTTTATGCTGTGGATTATTACTTTAACTGTGTAAAGAAAGGTGTATTTATTGTATTTGTTTATGCTGTTTCTATTTAATTATGAAAAAGATATGTTGCATCTGTTTAACCCTCACTGCCTAAGGAACCTGTTTGGTTTAATAGAGAGTGACCAGGTAGGCAGGAGGTATATCAGGGACTTCCGGACAGAAAGAGATCTGTGACGAAGAAAGGCAGGGTTGCCAGCTAGACTCAGAGGAAGCACAGACATGCAGGAGAGGTAAAAGCCATGAGCCACATAACAGCATGCTATAGAAAATGGGTTAATTTAAGTTATCAGAACTAGTTAGAAACAAACCTACGCTAAGGCCAAGATTCCATAATTAATAAAAGTCTCTGTCATTATTTGGGATCTGGCTGGTAGGACAGAGAAAGACTACGATACAAACAGCTTCACAGACACACAGGAAGTGTGTTGCCTAATCTCCCAGGGTGTTTCTTAATTCAATCAAGTTGTCAATCAGAGGAGAGGCTTCTGAAGCCTTTTAACTTCTGAAATGCGGAGGTCCTTCTCCTGTGACAATCTTCCTCGTGTACTCACTCAGATTTTTAACTGTCTCCTACAGTTTTCTTCCACGATGACTGAATCTGGCAGCTTTTATTGTCTTTTGTGTCCTATCTTTGACCATCCACACCCTCTAATTCAAAGTGGAGCAGAATCTAAAACTCCTGTAGTTTTTAGCTATCAAATAACTCCGACTAGTCCTTTCTCGGTGATTCGGCACATTCTACTTCCATCCATTCCATAACACCAGATGTACTCCTAGACTGGAAACCCGCAATGGGCAATCAGTGAGCTAGTGGCTTCCAGGACTGACTTCCCATGTCCCTTGACTTTGAGGATAAGAGAGAAAAATAAAAGAAAAGTAACTAAAACACACAGAAAAATAAAGAGGCATTAGCAAACTCGTAGTCTGAGCTGGGGTTCTACCCCTCACAGAAATCCATTATCAAGAATGTTGTGGTTACTAGGTATGAGCTTTGGGGTGCTGGGATGGGGTGAGGAGTGGAGGGGTGTGCGGTACCTCCATGAGTGGGAAGTCTGGCTTTGGCTCCTCCTTTACCTACATATATGTGGTCCCACACAGTTGCGTTTCATGGGTTTATTTAGAAATGTGAGAAAATTATAGCCTGATTTGTAGAACAGTTGGGGTAGAAATGGCAGCCCAAATCTTTTCCAATTCTTCTCACTATGAGCCTTATCACATCGCCTCCTGTTCGAATAATCCCAGGGGAAGTAGCAAGAACTTTTACTGAGTGGCAGGCTACAACGCTTGCACACATGTGAATCTCTGTAAGAACTCTCTGTATGCCTCCCTGCTCACAGTGCTCTGCAGGACTGAGGGTCATAGGAGGACCACTGCAGTCCCAGGATGCCGATGACTCCTAGCTTCAAAGAAGCCCATCTGAGAACATGTGCAGACTTTCGAGAAAAGTAATGCTCTGTGTAAGTGTATTCATCAACCTAAAGAGCCTTGAGAGATAATCTGCAATTGATTCCCAAAGGCTGACACAACAGATTCACCTCCCCACAGCCAGTACAAGATGAGGCGTTTGTAGAGGCATCCCGAGGGACAAGGATACATGCTGGCCAACCTCATGATTCAGATGGTTCTTCATCCAAAGTCATCCTTCCAATCCAATATATCAGACTCTAAATGCTGTCATCTCAGCAGACTCGTCAGCTACCCAGGAGTGTGTAGACAGCCCTCCCTCCCTGCCCTTAGCCTATATCTGACCATGCCGTGTACACCCTGAACAATCTCACCATTACTATGTTGCTTGGATCAGCCCAAGATAGTCCCTCGGAATGTCTCCTTTCAGATGCACAACATTTGCCGGGACAAAGGCAACAGATGGCACAGAAGCCCTTTCAGACTTCTAAGTGAATCCAAAGAGTATGCTAATCGTAAATAAAATAACAGTGAAATTTTCAGCATTATGGGAGAACATACATGTTCAAATGATCTGAGCCAAATCATGTTTTGAAACACCATTTGGAGCTTTTTATGTTCCATGACAAAAAGCTATTTTTATTGCTTTTATGGTTTCTCGTTTGTTTGTTTGTTTTATTCTGAAGGAGTGTCCGGAAGTTGATCACTCATTTAGTTCACTAGATTTGGCTCTGATAATTTTTGTATTTTGTTTTCAATACAATTTAAGTTTGCCCCTAATTATCCTCAGTGCTGCCACTGGAGATGTTGGCAATATGTTCCACATTCTAAAGGAAACATCCAAACAAATGAGTGAACATAAAAAAAAAAAATGAAGAAAGGGGAAGTATGGGATTGTGGCAACTCATCAGTTTTATTTTTTTTTAATTACTTTTGAGACAAGGTCTCACTGTGTAGCCCCAGATATCCTCAAACTCACCCTTCAGACCAGACTGGCCAAGAACTCACAGGGATCTGACGGCCTCTGCCTCCCGTGAGCTCAAACCAAAGGAAGTTTTCCACCATTCCCGGCCAACAGTTCTTACCATAGCAACTCAGAAGCCTGAGGCTGCCGAAGCTTGAAGCAACCAAGGAGGTTGCTTGGCTGCAACTTCACTTCAGGAGGCTTTGAGCATTCAGAGTGAACTCTGCTTCACGGGATTCCCCCATCCGGTCCTCTAGACACCACTGCTCCTGGATCGTCTCCCAGCTAAAAACAAAAATAACAAGATGCTCCATTAAACCCACAAAGAGGCTCGGGCTAAACCCCTCAGAATGTGTGAACACATCTGAACATGCATACACAGTTCTACAGCTCCCAGGTCAGCACCAGGGCAAACCACATGCTGAGCTGGCTGCATGGTCCAATTAAGGATTTCTAATCATAAGAAGGCTCTGGAGGTCTTCTGGCAATGTCGGGATGAGCAATCTTTTTCAGAAGAGGAAACAGGTGTTGGAAACATTAACCATATCTACTACACAGTGTTGGGGACAAAGGTATGGCCACCTATAAGCAAAAATAATCATCTACAACCATAGTATTTACAAGAGTACAGGTCACTGTGCATCTCAGAGATTTAAAAGTTTAAAAATATAAATAGCCTCTAAAGAAAAAAAAATGTAGCTATTTTGGTGTGTTGCCTTTGTGAGCACTTTTATATTTCAGTAGTTACAAATTATGGTATTGGTAAAAGATACTTACCTGATGATGATTGACTGGGGATCACATATTTGTCTTAACTCCATACCGCCATGCAACTTTAGCAGGATGAATATTTGCTAAGCAAATCTATATGTAGGCAATGAACCAATCAAAAGGGCACCCTCATCTGTGCAAGGAGTACATAGATATGTTCGCCAGTGTGAAATGCTAACCATATCTCTCAGCCGCTTCAGATGTAAAATAAAACTAGCCAGCACTATTAAAATAGTAATATTAACAATTCTGTACGCAGGTTGACTTCCCAGCCTGTGGCTCTTCCAAGGTTCTGTGTCCTTAATGATTTACATCCTAGGATCTCCCAATGTTTTCTAGCACTAGTTTCCGGATCCACACACCTCAAATGATGTGGAAAAAAAAAAAAAATCAAAGGCAGGAGATAGAGTCCAGGAGGGCCTTAAAGTCACTCGTTATGGTGGGACTCCATCCTTTTCCTATAATGGGTTGGATGCCCATCTTCATTCACAGGAAAGTCACAGTAGTAAAGTCTCAGCTAGCCCCGTGATGGTGGGCACTGCGCTGTGGAGGAAACCAACATTAAGAGCTTACGCACTAAAGAGAATTTGGGGACAAAGGGGACTGGATGATGAGATTGTTGTGCCCTGTCCTGCTGGAGACTGATGAGACGTGAATTCTTTCTCTCCAGCAGGTTGCTTGCCATGTGCCCAGATGCTTTGTCATATTCCCCGGAGACTTTAGAACTATTCTCAATATCCAAGGAAAACCTCCATTTCGAAGCAGTTAAGGTTTATGGCTACTCTGGAGCATCTTTGCATCCAGAGGAGCCCAATAATTTAGAGACATGCCGTCCTAGCAGAGGCACTGTAGTGTTATGTTTCCTTCACTCTTGCTTCCTGTCTATAATACTGATCACCATCCAAAATCTCCCTGGCTGTCTGGGTTTGGTGTGTGTGCTTACTTCAGCATTCAGGGCACACATGGGATAAACGCATCAAAGCAACTGGATGAGAGATAATGTCCAGGAACATCGCAAGCTGGGTCTGCAGGCCACAGGATGGACAGTCCCTGGGACTTTGAGATAGCTCGGAGTCTGTGCACGATCACATCCCCCGTATCGTAAAGCCTTCTCCTTCAGTGGGTCCGAATGCTCCTCAGTGCCTTGACCTTTACTTTCTATTTTTAAACATTTTTACTTGGCAATCTCTTTCCAAAGGATTACTGTAACACTCCAGGGACACTGCCAACTGATTACGAGGTTTCTATAAACAGAAGCAATGGGTGAAAACCCACAGCATGAGAAGATTAGGATTTGCCTCTTCTCAAGAGGGACTGTCACCGACCACCAGCTGAGAAAGACACCCCCCTCCGAAACTGCAGTCCAACCATGCCCGCAGTTGTTAAAATTCCAGGGCGCTGTTCCATTTCTATTACCAGTAAAAATGGCTAGGCGCAGGAACAAGAATAAGTGGCCCCTAGTAATCATCCTCTAGTACTGCTATGGGTTTATTCCTGTCATATGTAAAAACAAACTCCTCACGGAGCATAGAGCAGGGCAGGAGCCGGAGAGAGGGCCCAGACCTCTGTTCTCCCAGTCTCAACATGCTGACTCCTCCTTACTACTTCCTCTCTCTCCTCCCTTGTCTTCAAGAACATGAGCATGTGTTCTCGCAGAGATCGGGATTTCAGCCAGCCACATTCTCCAAGAAAAAATCACAGCAGGAACCTCTGAGCATTCTCAGCCCTGATCGTTTAGCATAGTGGTCCGGGTTCACAATATATTCTCTATGGCAATCTCCACTGCTTTACTCTTTTGTAGACAAGGAACCAAACTGATGTTTTTCCTTCTTGAACTTGGAAACGGCATGCCCAAGGCTTACAAAAGAAGTAATTTATTTCCATGGAATGAAAAAACAAATGCATTAAAACGCCAATCCAGTTCTGACAGTCCTTATGACATCAACCCTAAAACAAGCCTTTTCTTTGGTTATTTTAGTAAAAAGCTGAGGGTTTCATTTATACCAAGTAACATATTTTTATTATATACATAGGTAATAACATATATATATATATGATATATATATATATATATATATATATATATATATCAGCTCCATGGTTGTGGATTTATACTCATAAACTGGAACAGGTTAAAATATTTTAGGGCACAATTGACTCAGTCTTCAAGGTGTAAGAAAATGCTGACAAATCCGTGGGGAAATGGAAACTCCGTACCTGCTGAACACAAATAAACTATTGAAGGGCACACCACATAACCCTTGGTGCAAGAGTCAGAAAGGCATCGTTCTCCTTAGAAGATCTTGACGTTGTGCAAGTTTTGCCTGATCTTGCAGGTTCGTGTTCACGTCACACATTTCCTGGGAATCTTCAAACGGATGCTGGGTCATTTATGATTTACCGGGCTTCGGAAACTCTCATCGTGCTGATAAGCGTTCTCCCTTTCATAGTAACCAGGTTATCAGTGCAGCACATTTTCCTGCCAGGGACCCTCAGATCCTTCCAGTTTCTTTACGTTCATATGTTTCTCGTGCTTTCCAGGAGAAACTAAGGAGGATATCTCACACAGGGTTGTATTTGCTTTGGGACATAGGAGGAGGCAGTGAAGATGGGCTGGCTCCGTGAGGCTTGTGAAAGAAGAGGCATTAGCTTTTAAAACCGCGGCCGCTTATCTTCAGATGCTACAGAACAGAAAGTTGAACAGATGAAAGCAAGCATGCTAGACTGATGAGGAATGTCATATGTCTCTCATATTGGTTAATGAATAAACCCCTGTTAGCCAATAGGAAAGCAAGACAGGCAGGTCTAGGAGACAAGGAAGAAAGAGGGGATTGTAGTAAAGGAGGAATCAGCATGTAGAGACTGGGGAGGACAGAGGGGTCTGGGCCCACTCCCGGTAACATGAGACCACGTGGAAATACTTAGATTAATAGAAATGGGTTAATAATTAAGACAGAGCTAGCCAATAAGAAATTAGTACCTGGCCAACAGCATTATATCAAATACAGAGTCTCAGTGTGTTATTTGGGGGCTGGCGCCACACTGAGACCAGGCTGGCAGAAAACTTATTTGTAACAATACTAGACCTTTGCATTGTACTGTATGTTGGACAAGCATGCAAAACCGGAAGTGAAGGATGACATACTCTGTAATGGTTTCTGCTAACTATCAAGGGTCCAGACTCACCATAGAGACAAGTCTGTAGCCTGGCTGTGAATGTGAGGGAGTTTCTAAATTGTGTTTATTACAGTGGCTCAGGGACGACCCGCCCTAAATGTGGACAGTATCATTGCATGGGCTTGAGGTCCTGCACTAAATGAAAAGGAGAACATAAGCTAACACCAGCACCCACGGTTTGCACTTCCCTGACTGTGATTGATGTGACGTGGTGTGCCATGGCATGGTGTGATGTGATCAGCTGCCCTATGCTTCTGCTTGGTGAATGGTTCCCTCAGACCTGTGAGCCTGAACAAACCCTTTCATCCTTCATGATCTGCAGATATTTTACCACAGCTAAGAGAAAGATACCTAATGCATGCTTCTAGCTTTGTTTGGTTGGTTGGTCTTGCTTTTTGCTTTGTGATTTTTGTTTTTATGATTTTTGTTTTTGTTCCCTTGGCTATAATGCCAAACTTTCTTTCTAGTAATCTTGTCCCGTAATTTTCCCCAAGCCTCTTCTTCTAGCTTGAATACTATTTTCAGAAGAGGAGAAAATTGAAGACTAATTGAGATTACAAGAATCAATCTGAGTAGTTAAGTTTCCAAAGGAATTGTTCCTTTTTATTCTACTCTTGTGTTTTAGGGGCATAATAGAAAGTAAGGTTTTAGCATATTGTAATTGCTTTTAAGGCAATATAAATTGCCAAGCAGCAGACAGGGTAAACAAATTCCTGTCACTGCTCGCCTTCCTAGTGCAAGCATCTCACCCATGCTCCCAGAGTGAGCAGACTGCCAGGCACACTGAAGTTGACACGGGGAAGCTGCAAAATGCAAAATGGCTCCATGCTCCAAGGTCATGATTACATCAGCACTGTACATTCTAATCAACTCTACAGTAAGGATTATTATTTACACACAGAGAAAGAGTTCAGGGGCTGGAGAGATGGCTCAGCAGTTATGAGAACTTACTGCTCTTGAGGAGGACCTGAATTCAGTTTCCAGCACCTAACTCAGATGACTCACAATCACCTCTAACTCCATCCAAGGATCCAATGCCCTATTCTGGCCTTCCAAGGCACCTGCACACACATGGACACACACACACACTCACACACACACACACACACCTACTTTAAGAAGTGAAATATCTTTTTTAAAATGCAGAAAGAATGTTCCAGCTTAAGTGGTTTACATGGTGTAGAGGTAAGAATTGAATCCAGCAATGTCTGGAAACAAACAAAAACAACTTCTTGCCCTACAATGCCCTCTTTCAGATTGCCAGGGGACATTCTGGGAGTGGGGGTGGGATCCATGCATATGTATGTGATGGATTGGGGTAGATAGCTTGACAAAAAGTTGGCCTTCGTGGCTAAACTACAGTGTAACATCATCCCTTGTCAAAAAGTGTTCGTAAATCCTTGTCCATATTTTAGTAATTCTGAGATTTCCTGGCTTAAGTGTTTGTTGCAAAAGTAAGAACAGTGAGAGAAGGAAAAATCCATTGGGAATTAAAAGAAGAAAGGGAGAGTCTGTATTGATTCTTCTCTCTTGGAGGCTCATTAGCTATCAGATGAAGTTTGATGACTGCCAACAAATACACAGCATTCTTCCCATTTTAAGCTGCTAAACTGCCCCCAGCCATGACTTCCAGATTAGTCTGAAATGTACTTATTGTTCCTGCTGGAGGTGGTTTTAAGAGAATCTCCTTCAGAGCCAGGACTTGTGTTTTCTCTCCTCCAGGCTGCTGAGGGGAGGCACAAGATGAAGCCTGCTTTAAAAGCTGGTATCAGAAGCTGTTGGCTGCTCTCCAGTTCAGCGCGGGAGAAGCCTTGAACGATGAATTTTCCAAGGAGCAGAGGCTGGTGAAACTTTTGGGGGATATTGGAGAGAAAGTGAAATCTGCCAGTGACCCCCAGAGACAGGTTGGTGAAGAAATCAGTCTTTAGCATACTGTAAAATGTCTACCTTTGAGTCAACTGTTTCAGTTTCATACCTTGGAAAACAATACTTAGTCACAATACTTTCAAATTAAGTATTTTTCCCCATTTACTTTTCTTAAATTTAGTAATATAATCGGTCATCAGGACACAAATGACTTTGGTATGTAAGTAGCCTCGTGTGACACACACTAGTCATAACAGGAAGACACATACTTGAAAGCAGTTTGAGAAAGAAAAAAAAAAACCCTGATGAAATTATTTTGCTCTTATTTGTGTGTGTGTGAATATGTCCATGTGTGAGTATGTTCACATGAGTGTAGATATTCCCACAGGCCAGAAGAAGCCAGCAGAGCAGTTATAAGCAGTTGTGAGCTTCCTGACTTGGGCTCTGAGAACAGAACTCAAATCCTCTGGAAGATTAGCAAACACCCTTAGCTTTTAAGTGGCACTGTATGATCTCTACAGACCCCTGAGCTTACAACCTTAACACTGTCACACAGCCAGGCTTCTTGGAGAAGATCACAGTCTAGCTCCGTATTGTTCTAAAAAGCAGTTTGATAAGAAAAATTAAATAAACCTCAACAATACCATGAGTAGTCATTATTTTTATATTAAGATCTACATGAAACAGTGGTTCTCAACCTTCCAAATTCTACACAACCTTTTAATCCAGTTCCTCATGTTGTGGTGACCCCCCCAACCACAAAATTATTTTTGTTGCTCCTTCATAACAGTAACTTTGCTACTGTTATGAATCATAGTATAAATATCTACATTTTCTGATGGCCTTAGGTCACCCCCATGGAAGGGTTTTTCAACTCCCAAAGGGGCTGCAACCCAAAGTTGAGAACCACTCACATATAATAACTAAATTGTCCTGCCAGTTTCTCTCTGGCATAGCTGCATCTAACTGTTCTTTTTCTTGACTTAAATGGAACACATTGGATCTTTTTAATTACCTGCATCATTAGCTCCCTTCATTGAGGGGAACCATTAAGGGAGTTGTTTAAGTCTGATGTTGCATAAGCAGGAGGGCAGTGGCTACCCACCCTCTGCACAAAGAACATTATTCAATAGCAGTTAAGTACTCACGACAGACAAGAAGCTAAGGGCAGAAATTACGGTTAAAACATAATCTTGTCTTCAAGGAAACTCATAATTCCTGCTCATTGTCTGAAGTCAATAAGAATGTCCAACGAGACAATATGAAAATAGCAACATACAGAATATGCTGTTTGTTTCCCAGCTAGGATTTTCCTACTGGAAGCCATTGCCTTTAGTAAAAATACCAGAAGCGGTGCTACTTCATCTACCAGGCAGTGGGAACTAAAAGGGATAAATATGGAATGTGTTCTTTAAGTGGAAGACACATGAAAGGTACCACTTCTCAAATCCTTGGATCCCCCCATTAAAAAAATTAAAAAGATGGAATGTGTTTTTAAGTGGGGAGACACATGAAAGGTACCACCTCTCAAATCCTTGGATCCCCCCCATTAAAAAAATTAAAAAGGATAGCATATTTTATAATTTAGTAGAACTTTCCAGAAATTTGGGTTTAGGTTTGTTTCGCATCCCCTGTTTTAGAATTCCTCAGTGTTGAGGTGCACACCATAGCTAAATAATCCTGGTAGTCTTTGATAGCTTACATCAAGTTCCAGAGTGATGCTGGTATTACTAACTTTATCATGTTAACTGTCAATGTTGGTTAAAAAAATACCTTTTTCATATGAAAACAAGAGGTGAGTAAACAAGAGGTAGGAGGGTCTCTCACTCTCTCTCTCTCTCTAAGTTTAGCATTTTATTATAGTTCAGTATTTGTTATTGTTTGAGAATTCCGTGCATGCATATGACATGTCTTTGATTAAATTAACTCCAATTCTGTCCCCTCAAATCCTCCTGTATCTTCCCTAACATTTTCCTTCTCAACTTTACCCATGATTATTTTCTTTTTCAAATCAGTGAGTCCACTTAGTACTTCCAGTATGTGAACAGGTGTAAGGTCGACTACCAGAGCACGGGCAATCCACCATCAGGGCTACATCTCACAGGAAACTCCCTCTACGAGCAGCTACCAATCACGATAGCTCTTCAGGAAGGGGTGGGACTTTGTGAGCCCCTCCCCAATCCATGTTAGGATTTTGACCAGCTTGATCTCATTTGGCCTCATTCATGCAGACACAACCACTGTTAGTTCATACATAGAAGAGCCCTGGCATGTCAAAAACAAAAGCAAAACAAAAACCAAACAACAACTTTGTACGTCAATCAACAGCAACCTTCTCTTCTACCCTCTCTTCAACCGTGAACCCTGAATAATGCTCTTGTGATTTTTATTTTGTTAGTGTTGTGTATGATGTCTCAGGGTGTGCACACATGCCATGCTGAGGGACTGGAAGCCTGAGTAAAATTTTTAGGAGTTGATGCTCTTCTGCTGTGGGGTCCAGGGATCAAACTCTGATTGTCAGGCTGGCTTAGGGAGTACTTTTACCTGCTGAGCCATCTCTTATGCTGATAGCTTTCCTTTAAAAAATTATATATATATATATATATATATATATATATATATATATATATATGTGTGTGTGTGTGTGTGTGTGTGTGTGTGTGTGTGTGTGTGTGTGTGTGTGTATAATCTGTTTAAATGAAAAACATTGAATTAAACATAACTGCAGAAAATGGCGAAGAGATTTTGCTTAATGGGAGTGTTACCACAAAACTCCACATTAGCTTCCCCTGAACCTCCAGAGAAATTAGGAAATAAACACCCAACTCTTAAAGGAAAATTGGAAGCCCAACTTCTAAAAGAAAATTGTTTGATTTACAGTCTGGCCAAATCAGGGAAGGGTGACTGCTAATTCCTCTCATTTTCCTGTAACAGTATTGGAAAAAAAAATGCAACCAAGGCCAAAAATTGTGCTCCAGCTAATACACCTGTGAGACAAATCGTCAGAACTGTTGGCAACATCTTCCCATGTGTCAGCACTGTGCAATTACTGGAGAAATTTGAATTCTCTGGCTTCTGTTAATTTCGAGTCCCTCTCTGAGGAGCATAGATTCCCCTCCATGATATCATCAGGCAAACCCACATATACTTAATACAAGCAGGGAAAAAATGCAGAAAAATGTCAGGTGGAATTTTCCCTCTTTCTTTTGATCCTGAACAAAATAGATTTTGTCATTTGGCATGAATCAAGAGTAAGAGTTAAGAAACTCTCCAGAGTTAACCTCTACTAGCCAAATTAAATTTCACCTTCATCGTTCCCACAAAGAACTTTCAAATCTGCAATGGAAAGAACTTAGAAATGCATCCACTGGTATTGCATGAACAATTTGTTCTCATAAATTAGCAATCCTGACAGCACAGTGTCATTTACACTTGTGTCGCTGTTTTACTAACATATATATAATATTTTTAGTAAAATGCATTGACTATTACATGCAAAACTTGGTAGCTATAAATGAAGATTTCAGGAGATTACTTGAAAAAGATCACGTGAATAATTGCTTAACACTAGGGTTTGACATCAGTGGACCACACTCAACTCCAACCCACCCTGATTCCTGACGACTGCACAATGTTTTGTTTGACAGTTGCTTCCAGCTGAACTTGAGGTCATTGAAAAAGGACATGAACTCTTTGGCTGGGTGTTTTCAGCCTCTCTCCTATTGCTCCTCCCTGTTGCTCCCTCATCTGTCATTTACCCCCTACCTAATCCCACAGTCAATCACAATACCTCCACCCACCCCTACCCCCACCCCCACCCCCCTCCCCCCTCCCCCCTCCCGCACCCCTACCCCCCCACCCCGAGGCAGAGTTTATTTGATCAATAGAAGGAAGGTGCAACTCAAATAAAGAGTTAAGCTCCTTGCAATTTCTTAAAACTTGTTTTTTTCTCTGGTTACTTTTCTCACAGGATATACTAAAGAAAGAGATTGGCAACCTGGAAGAATTCTTTAAAGATATAAAGACTTGCCATCTTCCTCCTGAACCCAGCCCTGTGCATAAAAGGAATCGACCATGATGTAAGTCAACTCATTCAGTAGATAAGTGGGTTGTTTATCATTTATTATTTAGTTCACCAAATATTTTTAAGTAGTATAAATAATTCACAAACGAATATTGCAACTACCTTAAGGAAAATAATTTAATCCCGTCCATACCATATATTATGTTTCACTCATTGTGCAGAGCTGAAGAAATATTGATCCTGTAGTATACTCTGTTGGCTTAGAAACAAACTGTCAGTTTATTGAAAAAATAAAAAAGAACAAAAGTTTTTCTCACACTGAGTAGATTTGTTTTATTACATGATGTGATTGAACTGGGAACTTCATGCATGAAATTTTTCCATATCCGCCTGAGTTATTAAGGAATGTACCAGCTGGCAGAACTGGTTACAATGTCATGCCTATTCATGCTATGTGTACAACATGTCTATTACGTTAATATCTTCAGCCATCCATCTCCATTTTGATTAAAATTAATATGCAAGTGCCCACATATAAATGTGCTATATATTTTGTGATCTTACCAATGCCTGTAAAGTCTTTCCTAGTATTTTCAGACTCATGACTTCTTTAGCCTTCTATTCCTAATCCTCTGTCATGCGGTACCTCTTCAATAACTTTTCTCTGACTTGGAATCTTCCTTTCTCCTTTGTTCTCACTAAGCTTTATTATCTCCCTTCTCAAAAAACGCTAGAGTAGAAAGACACTAATAGGGAAAATGATTGATAAGTGAGATATCAAAGTGAAGAGGTTAAGCTATCATGCATAAGCAGTAAATGATACTGAGACAAATCATAAGACAACAAACCCAACAGTTAGGAGAAAATCAGTCTACTAGTGGTGTAAATGTGAACAGGTTGCTGAAGATTTTATTTCACACCTCATCGCTATGGCTTTGCTACTGACAAGGCCCCTTACAAACCTTCCTGATATGCTTCACAAACATAATTGGAGAGAAAAAAAATAACAAGACACTAAATCCTATAAATTGGCATATATCCATGGGGGCTAAAATTTAAAATGCTTGAGTTTTCAAGTGTTAGCTGTATTCATTGGTTAAGAAATAAAGACTAAGCATGTTAGAGATGCTAAACAGAAAAACATGATCACCAATGCCAGTTCTTTTTTTTTTGAGAGAGTGGGGGAGAAGAGAGAGAGGGAAAGGGGGGAGTTTAAAGGTATAGAATAATTTTATTTTGACAACTACTAAAATTATAAGTACATTTTGGTTTAGACATGCCTTGGGGTAGGAGGTTTCTGCAGGCAGTGTTTGCATAAGGACTGGTCCCTGGAAGGCAGCAGGAACTGCTGGGCCAGTAGTCAACAGTGTGGGAGATGCTACAGCTCACCCCGCTGCTAAAGCTGTACTCCTTCCCTATACTGCAAGTACAGTCCTGCTGCTCTGGCGCTGCCCCAAGTAGAGCCACCTCCTGGCCCTACATGCTGTGTCCCCCTCTCTTGCAACAGAGGAGAACATGTGTGAAACAGCCACAGGCAACATTGACATAACCATATGACATTCTCATGGCGCAGTTTCATCTGTCCTCCAGTCCTAGTGAGAAGTTGGGTGAGAAACCTTACAGCTGAAATGGATGTGAAAAAGCTCTCCTTCCAATAGAGATGCTTAGAGAACATTCTAGCGTCTACACTGTCGAGAAGCCATGCGCAAGCAATGAGTGTGGCAAGGCCTTCAGTTAGAAAAAATACTTCATTAGTCATCGGAATCTCCATGATGGGAGACAAACACACACACAAACTCAATTTGGAAGAACTGTCATTTAGAACTCTTTAATTGTCGACTGCGAGTGAACCATAGCACAGAAAATCCTTTGAATGCAATGTGACAAGGCATTCAAGTCTTTTTCTGTGTGACAGACATCACACAAACAAAGCCACTCTCTAAATGTCTAGTCACGTAAGCATATGAGGTCAAAATTCACACCTCATTATACAATAAAAAAATCACATGTGTAATGGACTTTATAAATGCAATGAACATGAGTTCTTCTGTTACAGTGCTAGTCTCATTGTCTGTCAGAGACACCTTACACATGACCTAAGGAAGCTCTTTGGTGTGTGTAGATCACTATCTCTCATAGCTTCCTGCATACCAAAGAGTTCACAGTGGAATGGATCCAATGAGTTCAGTCAACGTGGGGAAATCTTCAGTCTGGCTTCTACCAGTGGGAGAAAAACTCAGGCCTGGCTCAAGTTATTTTGTAAAGCGTAGCTCTCAAAGGCAGACAACAAGAGGGCTGTGGCTTGAGTTTTGTTCCTTTTGCAAGAAAATTCCTCAGTCATGCCCTCTCAGGGAATCCCTAATTGTACAATTCCTCTATTTCCGTTCAAGCTGCTGATGTATGATCATTTGAGAAAGTTGAGAATCTCTTAATGAAGTCTCTTTGTGGATGGAAAAGCGAGGACCAGGCATTTTATTTACTTACGGTTTCTATTTTTATATCTGTGTCGATCGTCTCTGCTTCTCAAGGACAGAGGTCATTCTCTTTCCCCTTTTATCTTCTTTTCTTCCTTCTAGTTTTACCAAACATGAAATAACCGGCAAGACTTTGATTCAGACCTCCCTGCCCCTTGTTCATGACCCTTTTTAGCCACGTTTTAATCTTCTACTCTTGAGCTGTCCTCTATGGTTTGCCTTTCCCCACTCAGAAAATTCTTCCTCTGCCTATTTACTAATGTGTTTGTCTCTCATAATCTTCAAGATCTAGGTCATCTCCAAATGACTTTGCTCTTCAGATATTCCTCCATTCAACTGTGATAAATCTCTTTGTGAATTCTCAAGTTAATGTGTATGTATATGCATGCATGCCAATTTCCACTGACATTTTAACTAGATGCAGGGCCTCTTTCTGTTAGCATCCAGATAATGGTCTGTGCATTGCAGTTGTTGATAATAGAGTATTTTGACATGACTTTCAATAAGTATACTGTATGTGAAAGCAAAAAAATGAAACAATGGAGGCAGAATAGGTCCAGGTAAAATGTGAGTGTCTCAGGTATTTACAGTCACCTTTAGACTTTTTCTATTCTCTTGACCTGGTATCCTTCAAATAAAGCCCCAATAATTGGAATTCAAAATGTATACAGACTTATTTCTGTCCAATATAGGATTTATTAATTATATAATATAAGATCATAAAATTCACTAATAATTCTATAACATGGCAAGATCATATAATTCACTAAAGGATTATATGGTTCTCACAGCAGAAACTCATACTTCTCAGGTAACCTCATCTTTAAAACTATAAAACTCAAATTGACTCAGCAAGCAAGGGTGTTTGTTTGGTTAGAAATTAGATTAGATTTGTGTTGACAACTAAGTTAAGAAATAGATTCCTTTCTTTTCAGTTCATACCGATTTCAGATGTCAGATGCACATATTCAAGCTCAACCTTCAATACATATTGATGTCATATTTTACTGGCTTGATAGATTGAACATACCAAATCCCTTTCTTTTCTTTGATATTGATTTAACTCTTTACCTTCAATATGAATTCTCTACAACTCTATGCACAGGAAGTCTTTCAACCCTCAAATAAATTGGGAAAATAAGCAAGAGGGGAAAGTTGGGTGGAAATAGTCAACTTAAGATATAAATAGGAAATGTGATGAAAAAGGAAACTATGCTGTGTTGTTGTCTACACAGAAAACATTCACTAAAAATGCAATGTGTTGATTCTTTAAGTACCTTGTTGCTCTCAAGCTCAGCAGAATGTGTCTCATACTCATTAGCTCATGTATCTCTTATCAAAATCAATGAGATAAGGTTTCTTATTCTGTAAAGACACATTAGGCAATAATTTTAAAATCTTATTGCTAATAAAAAAGGGCCAAGATTAGAATTCAGATTTCTCTTATCCATGTTTCTTTAATCTGTGTTCCAGAGTAAAATACAAATTGAAAGAAAATAAATTTAAACGGCAGATTTAACTTTAATCTCTTAGCCAAGTATTATAAACACAACAGCTATATACCTCTTAGTTTACTTTGAGCATATACATTTCCATTGCTTGATGTATTATTAGTGACTTTTCTGTAGCTGTGATAAAGCCACTTAAGGGGGAAAGGATTTGTCGTGGCTCACAGTTCCAAAGAGATATAGTACATCATGGAAGGAAAGGTAGGATAACAGGCAGCTGAAGCAGAACACTGGCTAATCACATGGCTCTCCACACATAAGAGGCAGAGAGAGGGAAAGGAGGAAGTGGGAAGCAAAGCTAATTCGAAGAGTTACTCCTTCAGCAAGAATCCACGTCCAAAAGTTTCTATACCCTTCTCAAATAGCACCACCATCTGTGGATCAAGTTTTTAAACGTATGAGTTTATGGAGGACATTTCTTAGTTAAACACCACACTTACACTTCACAAAGATTATTCACATACTGATAAGATAGTGAGGGATGGTACATAACTTCATCTTGCTTCTCTGAAAGATGTGCAATTTAAAACTTGAGAATTAGTTCTGGAATTTTCCATTTAATAATGTGGAATATGGTTGACAATTGTATTGGAAGGTTTTTAATCTACTAAAATGCTGGGTTCTCAACTTCAAAGTATAATATTTATTCCCCTCCTTATTTGAAGAGGGTATGTTTTACAATCTCTTAAAGAGGGAATGTGGGCTCATATCCATAAATATTGTGGTTTTCCCCTATGTATAGCCTATTCCATGTGAATGTATTACACAAAGATTGTTAACATACTTATAAGATAATGAGATGGTACATAACTTCATCTTGGGCTTAGAAAGATGTGCAATTTAAAGCTTGAGAATTAGCTCTGGAATTTTCCATTTAATAGTATGGAATATGGTTGACTATAGGTACCCAAAACTGCAGGAAGCAAGATATGAAGAAAGGTACAGAGTGACAAACACTTGAGGTTGGGAAAATAATGTTAGTTTGTTTATCTTTTGACAAATAAAATTTTTTGTTTCACAGTTTAAAATCACACTTATTTGTTATGTTTACTCATCCAACAAATCACGGGGCTGAGATTTTCAAAAGGTGTTGTCTTTGCCATATTTTGTTCACCGTTTTTCTCTTCTCCTACAGGCATGCTCATATTTCACATCTAATGCTTTGCCATTGAAGATCACTTTCATCAATGCTGATCCAATGGGTAAAAACATTGGTGTTATTTTTAAGGTACAGTAACTCTCCTGGATCCCAAAATTGATTTCATAAACAGAACTATTGATTTATTGCTCACAAAAAGAAATGATTGCAGTTATTTTCCTTTGGCAAAGACACAGAGCTTTCCCAATTATTTTAGAGTCTGTTTCTTAACTGAATTATGGTGTACGCCAAGCTGATTGGCAATAAATCAAATGTTACTGGCTAAATGCCAAGTATCCTTCAGTTCAAATCTTAAAATAAAATTGAATAAATGAAAGCATGGGATCACTTTTGAAAGAGAAAGTGAAATGTGTGAGAAGCTTCCAGAAGCAGATTTTTCTTTTGTTCTAAGACTTAAAAAGACGAAAATATTGAAGGATATTACCTGGAAGCTGGTAACTTTAAGAATGTTTGTTCACAAGTATTTGCTTATTGCTTATTTATTATTTTATGTACACACACACACACACACACACACACACACACACACACACTTATTATGAAGCATGACAAGAGGTCTTCTGAGAGCTGGTTTTCTTCTTCTACCATCTTGGTCCTGGGAACTGAACTCATCAAGCATGGCCTTTACTCACTGAACCATGTAAGCATCTCATCATCTCACCAAACGTTTATTCTTAGTTTTGCTGTTGTTGTTGCTTGTTTATCTTTTTCTCATCCTTTTAATTTTGAAGAGAAAGTTTCATGTAGGCTCTCTTCCGAACTTCTGACCCTCCAGCCTCTACCTCTTTTAGTGCTAAAATTATAGGCATGAACCAGCACTTGCCTAAGTAAATTGGATTATTTTCTTTTCTCTATAAATAAAAAATAAATAAGGAGCACTTCAGTCTTCATATGAACTCACTGGAGAATAAAGGCAGTAAGAGGGTTGAAGATGTGGCAGGGTGCAGGGAGACACTGACAAGGAGGACTGAGTAGAAGTACGAGTCTGCTAGTCATCCAGTTGACACAGCCAACCATTCAGCAGTGTCCAGGATGAATCTTTGGTGGATCCTGGCTAGTTCTGAAAATGAGGATGATGGTGCTGGCACTTGGCCTTCGATTCTCAAAAAACTTGAGCATCACTGACCCTAAACATTCTATTTTTCATGAAGAAAAAGAAACCTTAGCATGAGTCATCTTTGTATAAATTAAAGCACAGTTGAATGATCAAACTCTTAGTTATATGAAAGCACAGAGTTCTCCCCTTTGGGAGCCATTATGCTTCCTTCAACTATGATGGAAAAACACCCCTTTTGTTGTTTCTTATTTTCAGGGGCAGTTTCCTCTGGAAACTATCTTGCATACTTCACAGTAGAAGTCAATGATGCTCAGGTACCACATCAGACATTTGCACATTATGGCACAGTGAAGAAGCCACCAGGATTCTAATTGCATCTCTGTACATAAGCTTATGACAGACTTCTAGATCTCCCTTGATTGAGCTGAAACCTGGGTCAACATTCATTGTGCCTCTCTGCGTTAGAGTTTGAGCATAAGAAACTGTGTGCAGATAATGAACGAGGAGATTACTATCAAGGTAGCATTCCAAGCAGTGCCTCCTATTCTGCAGCTGGAGCTCCTGTGACGTGACACTTCAAAGGCCAGATGTCCCTCTCGTTGTCTGCTTTCAGTGGTAACAAAACAAGGAAAACCACTTTTAAGTTGTGCTGGAACAATATTCAAGGGGAAAAGGGGGTGTGGGCCACATTGAGGTGATTTGAATGGCACTTGGTGTGAGCTTGCAATTTTGTTTTGACAGGCTGGGGATGATCTTCGGCAGGACATGCTTGTTCTGCAGATTATTCAAGTGATGGACAACATCTGGCTACAGGAGGGCCTAGATATGCAAATGATTATTTATAGATGTCTGTCCACGGGAAAAGCCCAAGGTCAGTACAGATTTGAAAATGAGGTGATTTACATTATTTATCTCACTCATTCTCTAGTAACATACCACAAACCTACAGCTCTTAAGCTCCACTTTCAAAGATCCAGAGACGTACATTCCCTTCCTAAGAAATAACAGTTTTCAAAATTGCAAACCAGGATGATTGATGTTAGATATTAGATGTTAGATATTAATCTTGACTTTGCAATTCAGATGTTAACTATGATGTTCTTCGCTTCCCTCTAGGAATTAGTTGCTTTAATGACTATCCATTTTTTTCTTCATTTCCTGAGATAATGTAGATTTTTTGACATCTGCAGTGATGATATGGTATCCAGTATCACAGACCACTGCTGTAACAGATATTGACAGCCCAGGAAGATATTCAGGTCCAGACTTGAAAGTCTGGAAGTTTTCTCCTAAATGCTTGTCACTTTTCCCAAGTACAAAGTCAACCTTTGATAAGTCTAGCACCATGCATAATAAAATAACCTGTCCATTCAAAACCATTATCACTATTAACACACAATCTGCACGTGTTTAAAGTAATCCTAAACATTACTAAACACATGGTATAACAACACTTATTTTCTATTTATTACTTATTAGTGTGTGTGTGTGTGTGTGTGTGTGTGTGTGTGTGTGTGTGCGTGGGCGCAAAATGTGTGTGCGTAGTAGCATGCATGTAATGTTGCATGTGTCAGGTGACAGTTTGGAGGATCAGTTCTCTCCTTCCTCCATGATGGTCTTGAGTATCAACCTTAGGTCACCAGACTTGGATGGCAAGAGGATTTACTTGCTAACCCATCTCATCAGCCCAGAACTGGCATTTGATTTTAAAAAAAGAATTTTGAATAGCTATAAAGTCAATCAAAATGAGAAAGCATGCATACTTTGAAGATACTTCAGTATCTCTTTTCCTTTGTTAAACCCAAACATATAGAATAAAAGACTAAGTCATTTAGATTCACTGGTCAGTTTTATTTTGGGAGAATAGTGATGTTTTTATTTTGCAAGTTTGCTAAATTTCGTATTAATTGCACAAAACCATGGTATTTCCTACCTAGTTATACTACCTCTAAGTAGTGACCTTTAAAAAATATTATTAATGGTGACTATTCATCCTATATACTGTAGAGTTCAATAAAGATCATTTCCTTAAAGCACACTGTGTATTTCAGTCATAGTCACCCTCATACCCTTTTCTTTCCCCTTCATGTTGGTCCCCTTTCACCCTGGGGCCTCTTTCCCTGCATGCCATATATGTGTATGTATATGTGTACATATGTACACATATATGTGCATGTATGTATTCACATGTAAATGGTTTTATGTCTCTACAAAAAAATGTAGAGCCCACAAATGGAAGAAAATGTAGTATTTGTCTTTCTGATCCTGGCTCTTTTCACTTGCTATAATTATAGTGGTCTCTCATTGCATCCATTGTCCAGCAATCAACATCACTTCATTCCTCTTTGTGACTAAATAAAACTCCATTCTGTATACACCACATTTTCTTTATGGCTTCATTTACTTACTCTGGAAAAAAATTCCTAAATAATATGGTCACTTTTTAATTCCAATAAATCTACTATTTAAAGCCATTGTTGCAAAAGAATCACCACTATGAAGGTCCTCTCTTCCCGATGCCCTGGCATTACCCTCAGGGTCCTAGCCAGTATGTCTTGAGAGGTTATCTGCTAAATGCAGAATCCCCTCTCAACTGACTCAGGGATCACTGGTAGGTCAAAGACAATCTTACTTTTGTTACAACTGTAAAGGCTCTGCTCCAAGCAAATGGTCCCCAAACCTTTCCTAATTTCTTAAACGAAGTTTCTGATCACTGCTGTAGTGGATTGTCTTCTCCTGATTTCCACCCTTCCTGGTGTTACAGGAGGGACATAATTCTTCCATATCCCAATCTGCTGGAGATCTAAGAATGAATCCAGTTTAACCAGACTGTGCTTCTAATCTCCCATAGGTCACCCATGCTTTAGAAAGTGAATAAATGCTGGGTTCCAGTAAAATGCTACAGTTTCTATCCACTCCTGTCTGTTTGTTTTTGCAGCATGCAACCCAGGTGAAATCTCTAACAGTTAATAAGGAGTTTCTAAAGAAACAGCTTTAGACTTTCCCAAAGTGGCAAATGGCAGAAGATGTTGGTTCCCTCTTCCGTGTACCAACAGTCTTCTGGATGTCAAGATTTATAGAGGGAATTATGCTGACAGAACACTTCTCCAACAAAAATAGAAAGCAAAATAAAGGCCATTTTTCAGAAAACAAGGTTACATCTTCATTAGATTCTGGGCTTATTGGATACCTATTGTTCAAAAGGCATTCTGTTTATGGCCCTCTCTGTGGTCATAGAAATTTTCTGCTGCCTTTCGTCCTCCTCTGAGCATTTGATTGTGCATCTCTTAACTATTGTGAGGATTGCAAACATGAGAAAGTCTAGATTTCAATTTATTTCAGTGATTTTATTTGTAAAGCAGTGCCTAGAGAATTATTGGGGGATGTTCATCTCCATCTCTAGAGAGGTTGAGATACTATTTTGTATGATTTTCATTGTGTTCCTAAGGCTGTTAAGAAATATTTTCAAGACCTCTGGTTTTTAGTCTATACAGGATAACAACCTTAGGAGCCCAGTGAAAAGCCTTGATGAATGAGTGACCGTAGAGGCAAAGGTCCTACTTAAGTTCAATCAATACATGCTCCCTTTTAAATGAAATCATTATTACAGCTTCTCCTTAATGCTGTCTGGCAGGGAAGGAGCATGCGGCACCCTCCACTGTTCACTCTGAGAAATATAACATTTAAAAGAGGTCCTTCTATTAGTCTAAACAGAATTTAATTTTTAAAGTGTGTGTGTGTGTGTGTGTGTGTGTGTGTGTGTTTCAATGATTTTGCATATGGGTGCAAATTCATGTGTATGCACATACATGCAAATGCGAAAGGTTGAAGTAGAATATCTTCCCCATCACTTTCCATTCCATATACTGAGGAATAGTCTTTTATAAAAACTTATTGAGAGTTTTTACATAATACATGATTATATGCCCTCCTTTTTTCCCCCTTCTCCAAATCCTCCCATATCTTCCTGTCCTCTAGACTTGACATGGCTATTGCATTCATTAATTTGAGTCGCTGCAGGTTACTTTCACAAGACCGGCATATCAAACCAGCTAAAACTCAAGCACAAATGGGGCCCATGATATTCAAGTCCTACCCTGTACTGAGGGACTATTGACAGGGTGGGATGACCAATCCCTGTTTTTGAGAATGTGGCCATTGGTAGGATTCCCATGTCCCCATGGATGGCTGTCCATCCAAGCATACAAAGGCAGCACTAGCTGAAACTCTGAAGTTAGGAGGGGGTGGGGGAAGAGAAGAAGGGAGGGAGGCTCTTCCTCAATCCAGGGCCTTCAGACATAGGAGTCTGGCTACCCACCTTGCCCTTTGTCCACGTCCTGAAGGCTGGAATTTATAGGCGTGCCGCTTGTCTTCCTGACATTTACAATAATTACAGTAGTGCTGGAGCTCTGAACTCTAGTTCTCAGGCTCTTTTGGCAGACACTTTACCAAGATCATTTAGTCAACATTCTGAACAGAGATTTTTTTTTTAAATCATGCATTTGACAAGTTTGTTGAGGGAATTATATTTTGTTCAAGGAAGGCAGAAACTGATCCATTGTTTAAATGTGAAAGTTTGCCTGCATAGCTTCACCACCACCTCCTACCCACACCCAGACAAGTGACAGTCAATTTGCTCTTCTAGTGACCATAATCTTCCATGGGACCATCTATATTGTCTCTCTATCATAGTTCTAGAAAGAAAACATTAAGCTGCTTCTAATAGCGCTGATGAACATACTCAAATTGATAACCTTAGGAAGAATAATCTGGAGCTCCCTAGATAAGGCTTTTACAGAAATGGTTTGAGAGGAAGAAGTCCAAATAGTGCTGACAAGCACTGTTGCCACCCATTTTGAGGTTCATGGCCTCAGTGTTCCTCAACCTGGGAGCGAGGTTAGTTTCCTTAATCTCTCTGTTGTCATCCAGGATTGATAGAGATGGTGCCAGATGCTGTAACACTCGCCAAGATCCATCTCCACTCTGGGCTAATAGGACCACTGAAAGAAAACACCATCAAGAAGTGGTTCAGTCAGCACAACCACTTAAAGGAAGATTATGAAAAGGTTTGTTCTTCTGGAACTAATTTTAAGTAATGTACTTAAATAAGAATATGCTTTGGTCCATTGATATTGTGATTTATGGGAAAGTAAATTAAATCCACCTTGAGTTCTAATTCACTCACTCATCAACCGTGTGAGAACAACCCAATTTAACTGGCATATTAACTAGATGGAAGTTTCTACATTTTGTTTTCCTTCTGGGTGAAGTTCCTTGCTATGAATAAAGAATCTTCACTCAGATATCTCTCTCTCTCAGAAATCACATTCTAGAGATGATGCCTTCTGAAATTAAATCCTGCCAGTAGCTTATATTTTCCCACAATCTCTAATTTGTATAAATAAACCCCTTTGCTAAAATTTCTTCTGTTAGGCACTAACTTTTCAACTACCATTGTCAAATGGCTTGTAGAAGAGAGATAGATGTTAGAAATAGATACAGATAAATAATAGATAGATAGATAGATGATTGATAGATGATAGAAAGATAGATGATAGATATAATACATAGATGTATAGATAATAGAAATAAAGATATGTAATGGATAGATAGAGCTAAAGATGATATATACTAGAAATAGATGGCAAACTATTATAGATGCTTTTTAGCTTTACTATTGTCATGTTGTGTCATTGTTTTTCAACTGACAGGCCTTGAGGAACTTTTTTTACTCTTGTGCTGGCTGGTGTGTGGTAACGTTCATCTTGGGAGTCTGTGACCGACATAATGACAATATCATGCTGACAAAGTCAGGCCACATGTTTCATATTGACTTTGGAAAATTCTTGGGTCATGCACAAACATTTGGCGGTATAAAAAGGTCAGTTCACAAACATTTACTACAATAATTAAGCAATGTCCTAGGTAATATATAGTGTGTAATGGCAGAGGATACAAAAAAAAAAAACATATCAAATCCCCCCAGGGTGATATGATTATAAGTTTAATAAAATGGAAGGAGAGAATTTTTTCAGTAATTATTAACAGGAAAAAGTTCCTTCAAGATGTTAAGGAACCATATTGGTCTTCTTTCATGGGTTACTAAATCTATTCCCACTAATTGTTTCAATTAATGTTTTTGTTTTCTCATAAACTTTGAATGGGAAATTACACATGAATTGATGGTCCTGATCCATCTGGTATATCGCCTTTCGGGGATAACCAGCAGTATTTTTGTATGGCACAATTAGCCAACTCTCCAACCTGACTTAGCCTTAAATCATCCCTCAGATATTCAGTGAGCACTCATCACTGTGAGTAGAAGGGGAAAACAAGCACACAAATGCTGGCTTCCCTCACTGTTGTGGTTGGCGTGTGAAGTGTCTCACATAGGCTCCCACATCTGGGTCTATGGATCTATAGCTGATGGCTGTCATTTGGAAGGTTCCAGAACCCTCAGGATGTGGCGCCTGACTGAAAGGAATGGGTCACTGGGGAGTGGCTTTTCTGTCCCTCTCCACCATGTCCTGTCTGCTGTCTGCTTCCTGAGTGTAGGAGGGTGCAACACAGCCTACACTCTGACCATCATGTCCGAACCTCTGTGCTGAACTCTATTCCTTCCCAATATATGTTATAATAAGCCTTTCCAGGTATTTTGTCAATGTAATGAGAAAGGTAATTAAAAGAGGCTTTAGACTAATAAACAAAGGCATGGTGGAAGGAAATAAGAACTCTTCATAGGAAATACAGAGCACACACCTGGGGTGACAGTGGCTGGGCAGACATGCTGCTTTATGGAAACTTCTCAGAGGAGAAGACAGATGTGTAGTGTCAATGAGCAAACGCATCATGGGGGTGGGGGAATTCCAAGGCGACAAAAAAACCAAAGCAAAACAAAACATACCACGGACCCGAGACCCTGTGCCAAAGCTGATCCTGCAGCTACTGTAAGTTCTCTAACTTGTAAGAGAACAAACACATCTCAGCTACCACTATGAAGGTTTCCAAACCCTGAACATAAACAAGTGCTCCCCTCTTATTGCTGTAATTGTGAGATTAAAAAGGATTGACGATAGCTGACTAAATCAAAGGGCATCAGAGCCCCAGCATTGCTTAAGGATTTGGGGACTACTTGCCTAATCCCTGCAATGGAAATAACGAGGAATTTGCCAGCTCTCTAAAGCCAAGTGGATTTTCCCTCTGAAGTATTGCTTAATTATAATCTTTGTTTCTCCATTTTCTCTAACAAAGTCATAAACAAAAAGCGAGTATGAAATCATGCACCCACAATCAAATTTTCAGCAGTTCTTGGGTAATGGTGTCCATATAGAAACTCGGTCATTATGTAAGAGAGACTGTAGTGATAAATTCACACTTGAATGTGGTAAATCCTTTCTCTTATAAGGTAGAAAATTAAGAATTAAATTAAATTAAGACGAGCTTCATTCCTCTTGTAACTCATTTTTTTTTTTCTTTTTCAAATTCTTCTTATTGTTATATTGCCAGTCCATATGCACCTTCACCTTGGCGAGGCTAACCGTACACTGAGTCAATCTGTCTGTTGTTCCAACATACTTTTAGTGGTTAAATTTGTTCTTTGACAACTTCATTCTGTTCAGTCCCACTGCTCCACTCTCTCTTCTATTCCTCCCACTCCTCCCATCCCTGCCCCGGCCTCCCTGTAGTTAGTCCCTTCCCACATTCAAGCCTCTTTGTTTTGTGTGTTACCCATTAATTTTGGCCGGATACTTTGTGTGGCCATGGATTTGGAACTGTTCATTGGAAGCCCATGGGTTCAGTGTCTGTTATATCACTGAAGTCAATGGCTGTCCCTTCCCTAGAATCCACCAGTTGCCAACAGTTCATCATGGAAGGTGTATACTGGTTAGTTTTTATTGTCAACACAACACAAACTGAAGTCACCCGAGAAAGAAGAACCTCAGTTGAGGAAATGCTTCCCTCAAAATGGCCTGTGGATTGTCTATAGGATATTTTCTCGATTGTTACTTGGTAAATTGGTAAAGGAGGGTCCAAAGCATTGTGGGTGGTGCCAACCCTGAAAGGTGATCCTGGGGTATTTTTGTTTGTTCATTTGCTGTGCACACATACGTGTGTGTGTGGTGTGTGGTGTGTGTGGTGTGTGTGTGTTATCTGAACATGAGTTAGAAGGAGACAGCCCGCAGACAGCATTCCTTTGTGGTTTATTAACAAATTAGAAAGTATAAACTAAAATGAACTCTTTCCTCCCCAAGTAGCTTTTTGGGCATAGTGTTTATCACAGCAAATTTGAATAGAGTGGTGGGACCCCGTGAACCCCTCCCCGGTATGCAATGGCTTTTGACAGGCACCAAGTCTTAAGTAGATAGAGTGCAGCCAACTGTAGCTGCTGTGAGATCATATTTGTAATGGCTATGCCCTACCCTGAGATTGCTTTCCACGTCTTTTCTCCAGCTTGCTCTTCAGACGTCTTCCATCAGGCGTCCAGGGTGTCTCATCTGGGTCTGAGCACTCAGCCAACATTCGTTCTAAGAATATTGAGCAGTTTGGTTTTTCATGCACTATGGTTCACTGACTGCATGGGGTGTTGAAAGGGCAGCAGGAGTTCTGGGCAGCAGATTTCGGGGCCCCCTACCTGTCTACACAGGAACTAAAGGGGCAGCAGAAGAGTAAGTCTTTCTTGGAGCTTTCTCTACATAACTTTAGTTAATCATTTATTTGCAAGAAGTATGTTATCCCATGTTTTCTTAACAAAACACTATTAGTATCCAACACTATACATTCACTTTTCATACTCCAGAAAATTATTGTGCCATTGACCACACACCCACATGGTAGGAACTTTACAGGAAGCTGGTGCGTCAGTGGGCTGGCACTCACTGTTAAAAGTAAATAGCGGCATTAAAAGTGCTATGAAATAAAATAATTTTAGAGGTTATACGAACAGTGGTTAAGGTCAGATACTCTGAGGATAAACTGGGGGAGGGGGTTAGGCGAGTGGGAGAGTTTGTGGGTTGAATCCTAGAGTCACAAGTACTTTATATGCAATCTTAAGCAAATTCCATTTCTGTGCCTGTTTTCCCATCTATAATGTGGGCTTTTGTTGAAAATTAATTGATTAAATATATATATGTAAAGCTCAGTGCATGGTAATGTATTTTGGCAAGCCATCCCTAATCTTGTAAATTTGGACACAGACAGAGGTGGACTAGACCTGGCCCATGCCGTGTGGACTGTCAAGAGCCCATTCACTGTAGTATACTACTTCTCAACGATGCCCCTGATGCCAGCACATTACTAGCTAGAAATAAGCCATAATGGGAATATTTATTCCATGGAAATTGGCAAGAGTCATAAATTCATGAATGAGTATTCTTTGATAAGAAAATTCTGTAGGTTTTCAACTAAAGATTGGGGTGACTGAGAAAAGTTTGAGGCCGTGTAGAAAGTAGAAGGAAGAAGAGCAGCTTTAACCCTGATTACCCGGCCCTCTTCCCTCCATGACCCTCACGGGCACCTGTAGTGTCCCTTAGCTTGTCTTTCTGTTAGCCCTGCTTAGCCCTGATCCATAGTCTATTCTTTGAGGGAAGTCTACAAATTTGTCTCTAAAGTGAGCAAAGCACAGGAACTTCAGCTGAGCTGTGAATGCAGCCATGTGGTAGAATATTTGTATAGCCTACATCTAGTTCCCAGCATAGAGACATGAGGAGGAAGTAAAGGAGGGGTGAGGGATGGAGGGTTCAAGGAAAGGATGGAGGGAAGGATGAATGGAAGGGAGGGAGGAAGGAAGGAGGAAGGAAGAGAAAATGCCGTGCATCTCATGCTGGGTGAATGACTCAGTTCTGGCTTAGTAAGAAATACTAAGTCTATTTCTTGCAGATCCCAACTACATGAGATGGGCATGCTTTCAGGAGTAACTAGGGTTGGTCTTTGACCTGACTTTGCTTTTTTTTTTTTTTTTGAGACATGATTTCTCTGTGTAGCTTTGGAGCCTATACTGAAACCCAGCTAGCCTCAAACTCATAGCCTTCCGAGTGCGGGGATTAAAGATGTGTGCCACCATGGCCTGCCTTTGACCTGCTTTCAGACCTCATTACTTCAATTGTATTGCCACAGGCATGACTTTCATCCATGCATTAAGAGCACCGAAGAACTTGTCCTCATATGCAGACTATTCTGTTCCAAGGAAGTACCAGAATTCTGTAGAAACTCTAGGTGTGCAATTCCCCTTATCTAGGACTCAAAGGAAAACATTTGGGGATCCTGTCAGCTTTCTTCCATCCTCCACTAAATCCTGGCTCACTAAAAATCAGGTCATAGACTTGTTGAGACGGCAAAATTCTTCTGAAGAGGTGGCTGTTTTCTGTCTACCCTCTTCTAACAAGAGACAGGATAAACCTGAATCTCCAAGGAACACCTGACTCAGTGTCTAAAGTAGTTTAAAAAAAAAAAAACCAAAAGACAAAATACAGGGACTTCCAGGAGACTGAGGGCACATGGTGCTGTACAAGGGTCTGGACTATAGGGAAAGTATTTCGCATTTAGGAAATTCCTGGTGGAAGCGTTCCTCAGCTGATAATCGATGTCAGCGTGGAGGTCTCATGGGGTTTAGTGCTCATTCTGGAGTAGCATGCTCAGGTTGACATTGTGGTTATATTGCTTGTGTGTGGTTTCCCCAGCTACCTAATTACACAAGGTTCTCTCCTACTCAATGGAGACTCCAGATTTGCCTTCTCAATTAACACACGGATATTAGATAAGAGACTTGTGTTCTTTTCATTGGCCAGCAGTATGTGCTTTCTGGAATGTAGGTCATTTTTGATATCAAGGAACAGGTAAGCTTAAGTATCCCCAGTGCACCTTAGCCATTTGTGTCTGCTCTAA